CTTTTAGCTTTGCATCCACAGCTTGTTTTTCCGTAGTACGCCCAGCAAAATCTTTTTCCTTCTTTTTTCATTTTTGGTGAACATCTTTTTTCAGCCCTTCAAACTGTTTTGCTGTTCTTCACCAATGAAATCAGGACTGGTATCTGTTCTTCAGATTGCCTACAATCTCTGATCGCCTTGATTGACCTTGCCTGAATTCACCATAGTTCACAACAATCACACAATTTTGTGTGAACCGGGCCATCCGGTGAAGCTATAATATGGCTTATTTGCACAAAGCACGTTATGCAAAGACAGCAATTGTCTTTGTTAATCTTGGATTTGGGTTAAGTGTATTGTGTGAACCCAGCCATATGGGGAGCAATGAGCACTGGGCTCACGCTATGTAGCACGGCGCAGGGTTTTTCTCAGCCATCCAAATAGCTTTTGTTTCAACACATAATAGAAACTCATAATGAGGAATGTGACTCACGCCCTTGTCATCTCCCAGGTAGACTACTGCCATTTGCTCTACATAGGACGACCCTTGAAGACGATCCAGAAGCTGCAGCTGTCTTGTGGAAGCTGAATTCCTGGCCCCATATCAGCCTTACTACACAGACCAGACAGGAAATATGACCAGATGAGTTATTTCTCCTTTCTGTTAAGGCTGCACTAACAGAATCTTGCAAGTCTGAAAGTACAGTTCCCCCCCCCCTTCTCCTTTACAGCCTGAGAAACTAGGGAGGGTCCCTTCTGAGCCTCTTGCCCCACCCATTGTGCAGCTGTGGGCTACGCCCTCTCTTATCTGACCATTCCCTAGGCAGCGTCTCTTCACCCTGTCTCCCAAGGTCATTCCTACATTCCATTACATCCCAGTTTAAGGGGCTGATGGTTCCCTATAAAATCCTATATGAGTTGGGACTTCTTTACCTTCAAGATCATTTGTTCCCACCAGAATCTGCAAATGTCCACCCTCCAGGAGATGGGGGAACAGGAACCCAGAGGGTCACCTTCTCAGTAGCAGTATGGAAGAGCGTGTCTCCAGAGTTGTTATTCCCCTCTCCCAATTTTATTATTCTGAACAGTGCCCTTCCACAGCAGCTTTGGAACGGAGTACACGTGGTGTACAACAGTGATTGTAATGCATTGCTATTTTGTTGAAAGGCCCTGTCATGTTTTTTTAACATCTGTAAACTGTCTAGAACAGTGTTTTTCAACCTTGGCCATCGTAAGGGCTGGGGAATTCTGGGAGTTGAAGTCCACACATCTTAAAGTTGCCAAGGCTGAGAAACTCTGGTCTAGAATCTGGCGAGTGGGCCTCATCTATATTCTTGCCAGTAATAAATCATCTCTGATGCTCTCAGTAGAACCTCATCTTGTGGTTCCAGGTCCTTTGGGAGACACCTGGGCAGATCTTTGGGTGACTCAGTGTCTGCAGCGCCACCTACTGGGGGTAGGCCAGGCCGATCCCTTGTGCCAGCTTCCCATTGCTGCCTAGAGTAAACTCTTTCTAAAAAAGCCAAGCCTGATCCTGCTTCCGACACGTCCTAAACGGCAGGCAGCTGGCCTAGGTGAGAACAGAACCACAATGCCTAAATAAGAAGATCCTGGCCTAATGTCAGCCCGTCAAGGTAGGCCGGGTCAGGAAACAGGCATGGGAGGGATTCCAGGAATTCTTTTCATTGTATTAAGGTAGAATCACAGAATCTTGACAGCCTGTCCCAGTTTCTTTCTGTCCCATCTTATACGGAATATAATCAAGGCGGGGTTACTTGGAGTTTCTTTCTCACCTGTCCCTCTTTCTCGGGACCAAGACACCTTTTTTGCAAGTTCCTCCTAATCACCTCTCTCTTTCCTTCCTCCAAATCAGCTTGACGTGCCTTTATACCTCATGTGGTTTGCAACAGGGAGGATGAACATCAGTGTGGATAACTGGTTTTTGTTTTATTTATTTCCAACAGTCTTTGGCTGTTGACTCCAGTAAAATAAATCAGTCAAGTGGGCTCACAGTGTAATTCAGTAGAATCCCAAATACCAGTCTGGGCAACACGGCTGAAGGGAGAAGAACCAAGAGGATCCTGGGAGCAAAAGGACTCAGTTAGAAAGCTGATTCTCTCACACACATTTCCATCACGTAAGATGGGACCTTCAATAACTTAGACCAAATGAGAATCACAAAAATAAGGAGCTCTGGAGCAAACAGAAGAAGAAACAGTGGTCCTTCGCACCCTCCATGTTTCTATCAAGAATGCAAAATCCTGACATTTCTGGTCCAGATTATCCTGGATTATAAGACCGTGCATAAAATTGAAACTGGGTTGTGTTCACACGTTTCACCTGGGTACTGAATTCACCTGGATTTACACAATACAGTGAACCAAAACGACCCAGGCAGGATTCACACAACTCTCCCCAAATCTAATGAAGGTTAGAACCAACCCGGCTCCTTGCTTGCTTCACTTAGACAGAGCTCACCACTTGGTCAGGCCTGGATGAGATGGGGGGGTGAGTCCTCAGGAACTGCCTTTCTGGGGCAAGGGAACTGGGGCCGGAGGGAGTGCCAGGAGGAGGGAGAAACAGACTTCAGTTCCAACTTGAAACCATGAATCATGAGGGAATTAAGCCCCCAAGTGCCCCCTAAATTGGGGATAATTTCAGAATGATTTTTTTGTTGTTGTTTTTCCTGTGGGAAAGAGATGCCAGGTAAGGACTGTATAAGGGTTTTTCCCAGAATGAAACTGAAGGTAAAATCATTTGGGAGAATCACTTGAAAAAGGGATCCACTTTTCAGAAGTCAGGAACGGGATCCAGCCAATTCCTAGCCCATACAGAAGCCACCCCTGCCACCTGCCCCCCCCCAAAAAAAAATCAAGGGAAAGACCGTTGCTGGAAAGCTCTGGATATGTCGCAAGCCCATTCTCCGGGCCAGGAGTCTTGCTACGAGATCGGTTCCGCTCAGGCTCCTCATTAAGCACGAGGCGGGAGCCACCTGCGGGAAACCCGATTCAGACGTGTTTTCCGTTCCTCCGGGAAGATGCCCCTTGAAAGCCCCTCGCCGGGGACCCCAGCCCTCTCATTCCTTTCAGGCGGATCTCCGTCTGCAGCGCAGCGTCTTCCTTCAGCCCACGCCAAGCCGGGGCTTCTCGCACGACGGGGTGCGAGCCGAGGCGGACGGGAGAAGGACCGGCTTTTTGCGGGGTGAGACGACTGGCCTCCGCTGCGCGGGAGCCGCACTCCTCGGGGTATGTCTGCCCCGCGCAGCAGCCGAACCCCGGCACCGGGCGACGCCGAGATCCACAGGCGCGCGCGGGAGGCGCTGCCCGAGGGGCGCAGGCCGGAGTCCGGGC